GACTGGGTGTATGTTGGACGTCAAGGATGCCGATTGGGATGCATACGTAAAGGTATTGAGAATGAAATAGCCTAATTCATAATAAGGGAAGAAGTTACTTAAATACAATCTGAAACGGTTTGGTAAATATCATGTCACATAATAAATGGAAACTAATGATTTTTACTTCTCAACCCACAAAAAATGCAATAACTCTACACACTATTCTATAAACCTACTTACTTATTTGTCTTTTTTTTTTTCTTCATCTGATGATCCATACTGCTTCTTCCTTGATTTGGTATGTTAGTATATCCTGTTGTACTGTTCATTCATGAACATAGATGGGGAAATTCTTCATGGTTATGTACATGGCTACTTAAATATGTAGTATTAATCATATGGTTGGAAAACATGTAAAAATAACTTAGTCTGCAAAAGTTCATTAAACTAAATATGGCGCAGTTATGTTACAAACAAGCGGGAAGTTCCATGGACACCAACATTGTTACGTTACATAACTTCAACATCGTCATTGCATTTCCTCCCCCTAACAACAATTATGGAGGTAAAAATCTACTTGAAACATAAAATAAACATGAACAACATTGCTGAAAGGCATATAACAACGTTCCACAATGTATTGGCAGACTTCTTCGAAACTCTTAGCTCCTTCTCCATATCTTCGACTTTTCTCATAGCCACCTCCAATCGTATCGCCCCTTCCCTTTCTCTAATGTTCAATTGCTCAAGTTCATGTCGGTACTTATTCATTTTGTTCAACAAACCCGGTATAATTGATTTTGATCTTTCACACATTTCTGGATCATACCAAATGAAAATACCACAATAGCCAGCACTCTGTACATTTGTTGGTAGAGGTATTAGATAGTTTTGAAGTAAATCTATAAACTTCCATGAAATAACAAAAATACAATTTTCTATGAATACCGAATTACCCCGTATTTAGGGCATGCCCAATATCTCCTTCCCGGATTCCTTGCAGTCCAAGAAGTTTTCAAATGCAATTTGTCACCACAATTACAACTGACATCCATGTTATGCACAACTGTATCCTCAAAAGCCGAACTCCCATACGAATAACTCATTGCTCCATAAAATTGAAATAACTTACACAGATGGCATAACAACCCAGAACAATATATTCATAAGGTGCAGAGAAGGATCCTACAAAAAACAGTATTACAACAACTCAACAAAGTTTTCACTAAAGACAAGAATACAAACCACAACACTTTGTTTTTTGCAGCACAACACAACACAACAGGTGATGAAGAATACAAACCGCAACACAACACAACACAACAGGTGATGAAGAAATTTGCAGCAGTAACATAGTATAATATCGATTACCATGTAGTGACAAGTGAAAGATAAACAATTACCTCAAATATTTGATCAGTCATCGTTATGTTGCATCTTCGAGCGCGAGGGATGAGAGATCTTTGAAGAAAAAATCCAATCTAGGGTTTCGTCTTCGATTTTGGGATTTTGGAGTGTATCGACTGAAAATCGATGCACGATTAGATTATATATCACATTATGAGGGGCAATTTAGTCAATAAGCAAGGTAATCTATAATCTTATCATGCCAAACAAATGTAGGTTGGGAATTAATATAACTTTATCCAACACTCCTATCTAGTGAAACAAACAACGGACTATTATAATATGAACAGTGCAATCCTTAGTAACGAGATAAAAATTCTCAAATCTCATCCTCCGAACCAAACGTGCTCTTGGTGTGTGTGGACTTAACTTGAAAATATAAGTTGTTGGTTTTGAGCTTGAAATTTAAGCCACGATTGATGTATAATAATAATAATAATAATAATAATAATAATAATAATAATAATAATAATAATAATAATAATAATAATAATAATAATATTATTATTATTATTTTGTATTATTAATCAAATTGTCTTGAAATATAAATAAACTAGTAACGTCAAACACTCTGACCGGCTGGAAATCGAATTGCCTTCTTTTTCCTCGTCGCGTACCTGAAAAGAACTCTCACACCAGAGTGGTTTTCCGGTGAAGAGTTTTTGATGCTTAAGTCAGTGTTTGTTTTATTCAATTCTCAATTAAGTGTAAAAATGGATGAATCATGCTCAAGAAGTAAAGCTCACCCCTATAGATAAGGGTGGAATATCTGCCCTAGAAGCTACCCGAGTTACATGAGTTGGCTGCCTAAAAGCTGCACGGCCTGCCCGTCCGTACGCACGCAGTGTGTCTGTGTCAAAAACGATTATCGCCACAAACCAATATAATCGCACCACGTGTCCCCGCACATGGGTTAAAGATTCCTTAGTATTTTTGTGAAGGCTCTTACGCTCGACTGTGTCTTAGTCGATCCTTTAGACCGATCTCCGTCTGTGAAGTGGTTGATCCAATAACCTTTTGCTCGACAGGGCGATCCTTCGACCTTATCCCCCATGGACTCGGGACCAACCCATTATCCTCGTCCGATGTCCCCTGTATATTGCTCTCGTGGTATTCGACCACGACCCTTGTTCGACTCTGACCTATCAATCCGGCCTACTCGGTTTGCTTGACTCGTTCGACCGACACAGTAGACCTGTTTACTCCTTCAGGTATAATACCGCATATAAAAAGAAAAATGAAAATAAAATAATTATTCGTTTCATCCATTTTTTTTCCACAAATTCCACTAATATAATTGTTGTTATGCGAATTTTAACGACGACAATAACACGTAATTATTATGTGAAATGTAAGAAACTTGTATTTAGAAATTTATAATCAAGTGTTACAGAAAGTCGGTTTTCACATAAACCGAGCTGAATGGTAGGAGTGTATTGACTGCGTGAAAATGATCCTCATACAATAATAAATTCTGCTATTTATAGTAACTTTCGTGGCCCAATGTACAAGGTTGGTGTGACCGAATTTAATGTAATGTGTCTTTATGGAGGCAGTTGTCGGCAAGTGAGCCTGCAATGATGATTGCAATTTTATGTGGTCACAATTCAGTCCCGTAGGTGCCTCATCACCTGCTTTGGGTTGTGGTCTTCTCCGACCTCTTTTTTTAGGAGGATCTCGGTTCTTGAGAAGTTGGTCGTATCTCTAAGTGTGAAGTTGGTTTTTTACTTGGCTCTCACCGAGTTGCACCGAGTTTGGCGTATCAGCTGGTTTAAGTGATAATCTCCGAATAATATTCGTGAATCTTTATTCCAAACTCGGATAATCTGGTTGGTTATCAACATTAATTAAATAGAAATTAATTATTCTTATATATTTTTAAAAAATACTTCTAGTTATCCACATATAACTAATTAACAAGTACTACCTCCTATTTTTTTTTTTTTTAAATGTCATTTTGGCATTATCAACTATTAGCAAAATAAATGTCGTTTTGGATATTTTGTACATATTTTTCCATTATTACTCTCATCTAGCTAATAAATACACTACATCTTTTTATATTCACTTTTCATCTTTTCTCAAAATATTCATCTCTATCCTTATTAATAAGGGTTATTATTGGCAAAAAAAATATTCTTAATAAGTGTGCAACTTTTCAAAACGACATTTATTATGAATAAGATGGAGTAATATTTTACTATTTATCTGGAATATTAATTTAATGATTGAATTTATTTTATTCATAATCTCAAATTATTATTTTTTTTTCATTAAACCAACATTTTACTTTCCATTTCATTTTTGAACGAGACAAGACTTTTCAAAAAAGTAAAAATCTTATTTACTCTCCCTTTCCAGAAATCCCCCCTATATATTAATACAGAACGCGCTGAGCCTACGTGACTGCTTCTGGTGCTTC